CGTCGTCGTCTCACCTAGGAATGTGTTACTTATATACTCCGATATCTGGCTACCAGATTTGCTCGATTCGGCCAAGTGACTCAACTCTTTCGTTAGCATACGTTTAAACTGAATAAAATAATAACATAATAATAATAATAAATAAATAATAATAATTAATAAATAATAATAATCAATCAATTTAAAAATTTTTCTTCCCAAACTCCTTTCCTGCGATTTCGACTGAACTTTATATACGCAGTTTTGGTTGTGATAGATAGATATATAAAAGACAACATATACACACACACATACACAATAATTGAAAGCGCACATACACACATAAATACACGCAAACACACACAGACACATACATACACACGCAGTCAAACATACACACAGGCAAACAAACACACACACACACAGATTGGGTCTTGAGGTACGGTCAGAAATCGAAAATAGATATATAAAAGTAATTTGAAAAGAGAGATTCTTCTGTTATAATTATAATTGTTTATTATTAATTAATAATAATTATTATTAGTAGTATTATTAGTAGTAGTATTTTTAATATTATTGTTACCTTAGACGTAGCCAAATCTCCGACGGATCTGTGTGTTTGAATGGCCTCCAGCTGATCCAAGCACCAATCGAGGTCGTCCAGGATTTCCAGAGAAAATTCTTCTGGTGGTCAAGATGATGATAGATAGTCATCATGATGATAGCGGTGGCGGCGGTGGTGATGATGATGATGATTGTGGGGGGTAATAGTGATGATGATGACGATGACGTGCTAACAAAAAGCAAGAAATATAAATTATAGCTGACAAAGTGTAAAAGAACAAACAAAACATAATAGTAATAATAAATGTAATAATAATAAAAAAAATAATAATAATTGTTATTATTCTTATTATTACAAATAAAGAAGAACAAGTTTTTTAAAAAGTCGCACCATGAAATAATGTATTCATGTTGTTGTTACTGTTAGCTGTTAGCAAAGTTGTTGCCGTCAGTGTAGATGGTGATGTAGTTGGCGTTAATGTCATTGTTGTTATAGTTGTTGTCACTGAACCTACATTAAGATTGATGCTATCCCGATCCGTGTTGTAATTGGATGATCTGCGCCTACGCCTGTGGGTTTGTGCGAATTTAATTTGGCATGTTGTTGTTAGTTCTGGTGTTGTTGTTGGTTGTTGTTAGTATATTTAGAGCTGTTGTTGTTAGTATATTTAGGGCTGTTGTTGCATTATAACTTCTTGATTGCCTTTGATGTCAATAAAATTTTGGAAAAAAAAAATTGTTAGTTTTTTCATGTAAATTTTGTATTGCTAAGGTCTGATTTGTGTGACGACGTTACGTCATAAAAAAATTTCACTTTCTTTTCTGTTCACCTAAAACTATTTATGCGACCAAAATTCTTAAATTGCTAGTGATTGCAATAGAAAATTTATTGAACTTTCAAAGTTGACGTAAATATTTCTTTCATTGTACTTCTCGTTCATAAATTCTCGGTTTTTAACTGTGTTTTTTTTCAATTTACCGATTTTTTAAACTTAGTTTTTATTATCGTTGCTAACTTTTATTTCCATTTTTCTCACTTTTTTCTAATTTTTTAACATCGTTCCCTTTCTCTCTTTCTTTCCGTTGTATACCTTTTTTTCTAACTATACTTGTTTTCTTTCTCTGCTTTGTTCTTCTGTTTCTCTGTTTGTCTGTTTCATTCTGTCTTTTTCTCCTTTTTTCTTCTTTTTTTTTCTCTCTTTCTCCCTCTCTCTCTCACTCTCTCTCTCTCTCTCTTCCTAGCCAGCAATTTAATCAGACAAGAGGGATAATTGGAGTGAGCGTACAATGTCTCAAATGTTTCTAACCTGGTTAGTAGCCCCTCTCTGAGATGGCTGCTACCTTCTCGTCTCATCCATTTGCATTTTTATTTTTTACGAAGATTTGATTTTTTTAACGGAATTTGTATGTGATAATTTTTATTATTATTTCTTCTCTTTCACTCTTTTTTCTCTACTTTTCTCCCATTTTTTCTTTCCTTCCCTTGTTATCTCTCTCACTCTCTCTTTATCTCTCTCTCTCTCTCCACCGAGTGATGTGTGTTGATGTGGTTAACGTACGAATGATTAACAACGTTTTCAGGTTAATGTTTCATTCATTTTTTATTTTTTGCTTACTATGACTATTTTAAATCTTTAAGTTGTTTATGAACCCGGCGTCAATCAAACCAACC